TTTTTCGATAAGCGATATGTTTTTCAAGGCAGCCAGATATGTCCGAAAAACAATGTGCACCGAGGCAGTGACTTACAAGCCATTGACGACTATTTCCTTTTCATGCATGTCATGCAGAAAATGCATCTTTGACGTATTTGCACAGGTTCAATGACTGTAATAATAGTGTCTGTGCTATAACGTAATGCATGGTACTAAACTCATCGGAATGTCCACCTACACTTCGGAAAAAATGGCTGATTATAAAGACAATAAAGACAAGCTCGAGCCAGATCTGGTGCATAAATTTACCCTAATTTCCGGTAGATAAGCCCGCGACATTATCACACCTCCGCTCGTGCAGTGTAATTTGTACACCTTAGAAACTACCGTAAATTTGCCTATAGAGGTAATTCGATGCCCTGATTACGAAAATGACTTTCATTTTTAGCGGTGGCGCCATCTGGCGCCAGTTGGCGTCACCTTGTCACGACACCTGTTTTCACCAAATTTGGTGTAAACTTCCGTATAGGGGTTATTTGGTGTCCTGATTACGAATATGACATTCATTCTCGGCGCTGGCGCTATTTGGCGCCTATTTTCTGCTCGTCTGCGCTCTCCAACCGAGAAATATGCGTTGAACAACGTTAATGCCAAAAACGAATGTCATATTCGTAATCAGGGCACCAAATAACCCCTATACAGAAGTTTACACCGATTTTGGTGAAAACAAGGGTCGTGACAAGGTGACGCCAACTGGTCAATTCGTATCTGGAAATTACTTAAGTACTGAGTCCGCCATTGTATAATGCCATTTTTGCGCCCATGACTCATTAGTAAGTCGTTAGGAACTTACTAAATCGTCAGAGGCCATGTCGTAGTGTTGACTTGCTATTCTACATCCAGGATTGAAGTTCTTTCCCCTCTCCACGATTTCCTGCCTCATGAATTCTGCGCAGCGTAGAGCAACGAGGTACGAGTACGAGTATTTGGGATGTTTTTGACGTTGCATCCCTACTTACTTATTCGAGTGGAATTACTACATAGCTCAATCCTGATCCTTGCTTAAATCAAAATTCAAATGGAACTGAAATGCTTATAAAGTTTGAGAATGTCGGAGGTTCAATAAGAAAAAGTGTTCCGCTAGAAAACGAAGAGCTTTCAAAAACCGAAGTCCCTAGTTGCTAACACTATCTTACCAAATTGTCCAAGGAGCTACCCACAGGGCACAAATGATTAGAAACAGTGCGTTTGACAGAGCGTAGCAAGCAGCAAGGCGTCCAAAGAAATTTTGAAATATATGATGTCGAATCATTACAGAAAACGCTAGAACATTGAAACCGATCCCAATGACAGATACCTGAAAATATGTGTATGTACCGATAAGTATAGCACAGTAAAGTCAAGACAAAGGACAAAAGGATAAAGCATTTGCCGTTGATCAATCCCTTTTTGGGATGCGGCACGCATTCTACTTCCATTTGTACATTCGTAGTGGCGTTTGAATGCGATGTGGCCTATACAATGACTTGCGGGGGCCAGCCGATGTACAAGTCAGTGTTTTTATCCTCCCAGACAAGTCTGGTACCAATTAACCGACCCCGGAGGGATGGAAGGCTTGGTTGGCCCGGGCGACTCACGACCCAGGATTTGATCCCCGGACCGCTCGCGTGGTAAGCGTGCCACTTGCCACTACACCACTTCCGCCATAAAGCATGAGCAAAGATAATAACAAAAATAAACCCAACATTTCATGATGTTTAAAATGGAAGGGAGCCCTTTTGCATGACAAGCGTCCGCAAATTTTATGCCTCACAAAGAGATGAAATGAGTGAGAGCTCCTTGGTAAATATTCCTAAGGCATCCGTCGATGATCACAAGCGGATCCTTACACGGGCTTCAGAATGCTTATCGTGGTTGCTGGCTATTTCATTCTGAAGCAGTTGCGTCAGTATTCTGTTTCGTCTGCAGGCTCACATGCGATCAGTTCTTTAGAAACGGTGGCTCTGGTGCGACACTTTTATTCCGATTGTACAAGATCCCTGCCAACCTGTAATTCATGCACTTCCTGACAACGCCAGCAATTCAGATCTTGAAAGGCTCATCCAATACGAGTTGCATATCAATGGGTGCATGACCGATGGAGTGATAAGGTAGATTTCGTTTCTATGGATTTTGAGCGGAAGGTAAACGCTGGCCGCTACATCTAGCTTTGCAATGACAAATTCAATGGTGATGATGGTGGCGTCAACTTCCTAGCAATCTCCAGGAGAACCACAACGGGCCCGGTGAATGGCCTTCAAAAAACGCTTACCTTTCGTTAATCAAGAAAGAGATCTCGTAAAAGATGTCAACCTCACGTATGTTTAAAGATCCTTCTTTCAGTTGCCAACACTGTTAGAGCTGGGATAGAGGAGGGATAGTCTAGCAATTCATCATTCGTTCATTCATTGACGTAGACATAAGCTCACGTAAACCAGCACACAACACATGAAAATACGACAACAAATAAGCCAGTTATGGGCATGAATCCCATGAATTGTGTAGCCTACATCTGCTCAACCTTCAAACAAACCTCACGACCGGATTGGTTTGGTAACTTATTACAATATTATTACAAGTCGCTAGGAAAGGAACAATCAAAGGGACTGGGTGAAAGCCCTGAAAATACATTGATCTCCTTTCATGATCCCTAGCACAACTTTTATAACATTTTTCGATAAGCGATATGTTTTTCAAGGCAGCCAGAGCCAGATATGTCCGAAAAACAATGTGCACCGAGGCAGTGACTTACAAGCCATTGACGACTATTTCCTTTTCATGCATGTCATGCAGAAAATGCATCTTTGACGTAGTTGCACAGGTTCAATGACTGTAATAATAGTGTCTGTGCTATAACGTAATGCATGGTACTAAACTCATCGGAATGTCCACCTACACTTCGGAAAAAATGGCTGATTATAAAGACAATAAAGACAAGCTCGAGCCAGATCTGGTGCATAAATTTACCCTAATTTCCGGTAGATAAGCCCGCGACATTATCACACCCCGCTCGTGCAGTGTAACTTTGTACACCTTAGAAACACCGTAAATTTGCCTATAGAGGTAATTCGATGCCCTGATTACGAAAATGACTTTCATTTTTAGCGGTGGCGCCATCTGGCGCCAGTTGGCGTCACCTTGTCACGACACCTGTTTTCACCAAATTTGGTGTAAACTTCCGTATAGGGGTTATTTGGTGTCCTGATTACGAATATGACATTCATTCTCGGCGCTGGCGCTATTTGGCGCCTATTTTCTGCTCGTCTGCGCTCTCCAACCGAGAAATATGCGTTGAACAACGTTAATGCCAAAAACGAATGTCATATTCGTAATCAGGGCACCAAATAACCCCTATACAGAAGTTTACACCGATTTTGGTGAAAACAAGGGTCGTGACAAGGTGACGCCAACTGGCGCCAGATGGCGCCACCGCTAAAAATGAATGTCGTTTCGTAATCAGCATATCGAATTACCCCTATGGGCAAGTTACGGTTGTCTCTAGATGTACGCAAGTGCACTGCACCAGCGGAGGTGTTTTTACGTGATAATGCGCGGGCTTATCTACCGGAAATTAGGGTACTTTGTAATGAGTCTGAGCTGCGGAGTGAACTAAAAAATGGGAAGACGTGTTGTATCGATATTACGCTGTTTTCTATTAGGTTGGGAAGAAAGTTTGAACCACCCCACGGAGAAAATTTGCAATTTGTTTTTTTACTCTTTGTTTGTTCTGAGATTCCTGTCATCTTGGTCACCAGGGCCAACAAACGATACGCCAATCTTCGGGAAATATGTTGATACGACATTGGTTGAGATTAGGAGAATTTTTTCAAGCTGGTGCTAGAATCTTCTGACGTGAGATCGAAAACACAAGCGTCGTCGTGATGCAAACTAAGTTGTCTCTTTTTTTTCAGGTTTCCTCTTCTCTTTCCTCTCTTCAAGCAGCTAGCAGTGGGTACCACATTTCAGCTCCAATTCCGCAAACAGAACATATCATAGAGCCAGTCTAGTGTCAGATAGAGCCAGTCTAGTGTCGCCTACTCCGAACCACTGCTGGTCATTCCGCGTATGGTTAACACAAAGATCCGCTTCCCTTCGCCAATGGCCGCAGGCCACACCCTATCGCCTCTGCAGGTCTACGAAAGATTTCTGTGCAGATGTTCAGCCGATGAAATCACACGGTATCCATTTACCACGTTTTGGAGACTTGTCTGATTCCTGAAGGAATGTATTTGAAAGCGCTCAAGACTCTCGAGACTGCCTTGTGAGAGGTCTCGCTCAAGTTTATCGTGACACTGATTCTGAGCATCATTCGTGAAAAGAACAGGCAAGACTCGCGCACGATGAGCGCTTGGATGGTCTCGCAGGAGAAGATGATTTTGTGCAGTGCAAATAACATTACTAGTACAGCATATTGGAGCACTGTGGACGGCACAGTCCGCTCCTTTTGCACACGAACCGTTAAAGATTCCAGCATTCCATAGAAACCAGATAAACCGCTAAATAAGTGGCCCAAAGCTTCCTTTCGACCTAACAGTAGAGGCGTTTTTATTCCCATATGCACCAAATGGAACCCGTTAAGGCGGGACCCCTCCTATGCCCTTTGAATTGCGCTTTGACGCGGTTCTCATAGCTGCTTCAACGCTCCATGCTAAACGGCTAGAAACTGGGACAAGAGATGACGCGAGAGGAAGCGTACTGCGGCAACAGCCCAGCAGTTGCGTCACGGGGGAGGGTGATGCTGGATCACCGTGCGCATATCCGCCGAGGGTATATTATACGAATTGCGTGTTAGTCCGCACCCTCAGAAAGTCCATCTGCCCTTCGCTAAATGATCTTGAGACTATAATTATACAAGCGCCGTTGCAAATAAAGTTATTGATCTGAATGCTTATACACTTTAAAACTCCAAATTTTTTTTTACAAAAATTAAGACAAGTATTCCACAATAAAATTCGAAAAGTGTTCATTTTGGGACTAGGCAAATTCCGTTGCGCAGCACCTTCTTCTGGCCCTGAAATATTCTATATTGGTAAGTTAGTTGATTTTGGAAAATCTCAACCAACAAAACCAATGAACACTTCTGAAATTCCTTTTTGGAATACTTTTGTGTTTTATTTTGTTAGTAAATTTTTGGTGTCCCAAAGTGCATAAATATTCAGATCGACATGAGGCTCCGTGACAGCACAATCTTAACATAAAATTGAGTTAGGCTATGCCACTAAAAAGCGTATCATTCTAAGTCACAGTTCACTATCAGCGCAGTGGGGTAGAACCCTTGCTAGAGAAAGAAAGGGTGTTCCATGTGCTCTGGAGTCGAGGCGTTTCGAGGCCAATTTGCAAAACACTGACGCCAACGTTTGAGGATGCACATTTATTCCACTCAACCTCAGTCCGCATAGGAACTAGTGCAACTGCAGAGAATAAGTTCGAAATGATGCAAAGAGCAAAACTTCAGGGGGCGATATTGGCGATTTGTCGTTGTTTTTGGTAGACAACCTCTGTTGTTCAGTTCCATTTTCAAAGAAATCAACATCACTACTTCTGTCACGGAATATGTCTAGGGAAACTGAGCTATGGGAAGGAATAGCGACAGAATCTTACCAAGAATAGAAGTGCAGCTTCTATCATAAATAAATTAATAGGCTCTTCTACCATCTCTGGCGGTGCAGTGATACCTTCACTAGCCGTCATCAAAAGTTGCTCCTGAAAGTTTAGCATGGGCATAAAAAGGAAAGCCAAAATCGATTACAACTCAACATAAAGAACACGTCAAAAAATAAGACGAAGCTCAGAAGGTTGCTGGTCCTAGAAACTGGCTGTATATAATCGTATGAATGACTTGTCTACTGCCCATCGATGCCCAAAATACCAGAGCTCCAGGGTAAAGGTTTCGAGAAAGCGTATGTGATTCCGTAGAGTTGCCACAGAGCAGCCCCCTTTTGATAATTAATCTTAATAGCAGTAGCTTTTCTATTGAGTGCGTCTTACAAATGCACGCGCACACTTCAGAACAATAACAATCACAAGTTTTTTGAAGAAACACAAAGTTACGCCTTCATTCTACACTACAGCGAAAGCACTGTTGATGCATAAGTGATGGCCTGACACTAAAAGAGGCGTAACAATGCTAATGGCACGCACGGGCTTCCTGATTTGCTGTCACACACAATGCAATGCAGCAATTGTGCATCGCCACCAAAACTTCCGCATGTGAGATTTCCACCAAAACTTCCGCATGTGAGATTTGTGCATTGTCTGTTATGGGCAGTGGAGAGAAGATTTAATTTTATGACCACACAATTTCATCAACCCATAAACCTCAGGGCAGCAACTCTTTTTTGGAAATTGAGTCATCGACGTGTTTTCGTGGTAGCTTTCGGCTACCAAACAACGGTCAAAGATTCGTGCGCGGACGCGGTGATCGCGGTCGAGTTGGTAGTGCGAGCGGTTGATTTGCATGGGGCGCGCGAACTGTTATGGGGCGTATTTAACATCAATTGATACAGCTGCAGCGTTACGTTTTTGTCATCCATCCGTTTATTTTTGATGTTATTAGTGTGCTGTAAGCGTATTTTTCACTCGATTACGAGGGTATGTTATGTATGTCGACTAGGTGGTCGACTGCATTGTGTAGTTGATGATTACGTAACACAGCAGAGAGGCAGTCAGAATATGATAATCGATAGCGTCTGAGGAATTGTTCAAAGGCGTTCGGATTTCATATGTGGTAGAACTGGTGAAATCTCAGCTAGGTGGGACTTTATACGAGGGTTTTTCAAGAGCCTTCAGTCTTCGTTCCTATTTAACATTTTGGGTTTCCTTTTTCGTGCTTCTGAGGCACAAAATTATTTTCACCGCCTTTTCTAGTGAGTAGAATGAGGGACGCTTAAAGGTGTAACCGATCATGAGCCTCGCAAATTTTTATGAATTGTATATTTTCCCATTTTCCCTTCGCTAATTGGAGGCAAAGTATGGAGTCCGCTCATGAATCGCTAGAATTGGCGAAATTCGTACCGTGGAGCTGATAAATCAGTGCCCAAAAATGTGATCTGGAGGGAGAGCGCCGCCTTTCTCACCTGGCGCCGAAGAAGGAAGAATGCATATTGATGCAAGCGCTGTTCTTGCTCATTGACTTTGGTAGTTTTTTTTTGATGAAATGGTGCCCCGGTAGCGTAACTGGTAGCGCACTTGCCCGGAAAGCGAGAGGTGCGGGTTCTAGTCCCGCCTGGGGCGAAAGTTTTGTTCACAACCCAGCATTCTTGTGAAGTTTTTTTTTAGTTTGAAAGGAGTTAGTAATTGATGGCGCTTCTAGAACTGTACCCTACCCTTTCCCTGGAAAATACGAACATCTTGAAAGGCTAGGTGCAAACCTAATAAAAATGTGCATGAGACGTGTTGCAATGTTGCAAGGACTGGGGGCTTTTTGTCAAATAATAACGAGTTGCGCTTCATTTCGTGTAGGCATGATCAATTTTCTTTCGCCTGATGAACTCGGTAGTAAAAAAAAGAATTTGCTATTTTACCTTGAAGGTTTCAATTAGAAATGAGCACTACTGGCAAAAGTCTGGAGCGGCATTTTCATTGGAACTGTAGACCGGGCCAGCAAGTAAGGTATTTTCAGAAGTGTGTGCGACTTTTGCACGACAGTCATGGTGAATTCTAAGCTGGGTATGCTGGCCGACCTACTCGATACGATGCTCGTTCTTCTTACAAAAACTCCAGTGCTGAAGACGGACCAGTGACCCGCACGTTTGTAGGC